CTGAGCAGCACTCAGCTGACATTTGCAGAGATGACTCCAAGACCTTTCCAGGGTACTAGGTAAATTAAACCCCATTGTCACCTATGTACATTTAAGATTGCTTTACCTAAGCTCAGTTCTTTACATTCATCAATACTGAATCATGTCGACTATTTTACTGCTCAGTCGCTTAACATTGGGAGATCCTTCCGCTTCTTTTCAAAGTCAGCTTTAGCTTTCACTGCCCTGAATTATTTTGTATCAGAAGCAAGCTTAGTTGCTTCTGCTCTCCTTATCTTTCCAGACTCTTTATGAATATTTCCGTAATACCAGTGCCAGCCTAGCCTCTATGGGCCTCCACTGCGATGATGTGTATGCTCTGATACAAGTCCATTTTCCATTGTTCCTCTGGTATGGAAATTTACCATCTGTTCCCAGTCTTTTCCCTCACTCTCTTATTTTGCTATTGAGCTGTGAGAGCCATTCCCCTTGTCAAATAACAGCTTAGTTACCTTAACAGCCCTTGATACCGGCCTTTGTCAAGGCTTTTCGGAAATCCAGGTTCACTGTACCAATAGGATCATCTTCCCCATAGGCTTATTCCAGAACATCTTCAAAGAACTTCACAAGGTTTGTGAATTGTCACTTCCCTCCCCAAAAGCCTTAGCAACTCCCATCGTATGGCATTTAATCATGTTCCCTTCCTGCAGGTAGGCTGCCACTACCATGAGTGCTTGATGGAGACCCTTGGGGGTTGCTGAAAGGCCAGCTCTGCCTTGGTAAGATCTGATCCAAGATCTAGTTCACTAAGACAATTTGCCTCAGAAAGACGGCTCCACAAAAATACGGAAATTGTTGAAAAACAAAAAGGAGCAGCTAAGGGCCACTAAGGTGATTAAGAGATTGAAGCATCCGTCATACGAAGAAAGGTTAAGAGAGCTGGGATCGTTCAGCCCAGAGAAAAGAAGGCTCGAGGGACTGTATCAATGTGTAGAAGCACTTGGCGAGGAGTAAAAATGACAGTGCCAGACTCTCTTTAGTGATGTCCAGTAACAGCACAAGAAGCAATGGACACAAACTGAAAGGTCAGAAATTCCATTTCAACATTAGGAAGACTTTTTTACTGTGAGGGAACAGGTTGCCCAGAGTGTTTGTGGAGTCTCCATCCTTGGAGATAACCAAAATGCGATTGGACGCAGCCCTGAGCAACCTGCTCTAGATGATCCTGCTTTGAGCAGGGAGGTTGAACTAGATGATGGCTAGATCCAACCTCAACTATTCTGTGATTTTGTAAAAGATAAAATGCTAGCAGGCAGCATTCAGTCTTCCAAGACCCTTATACAGCTTTATAGAAAACACCTACTGCCTATCAGAAAGGACTCTAGAAGAACAAAGAAGAGTTTGATGTCATTAAAATCGACTCATTGTGACATATGCAAATTTGTATGATAAAAGAAGCTATCAGAAGCAAAAAGCCCTCCTTCAGAAAGTGGAAGTAATTTCTAACTTAATTTAAAAATAAATTCTGACAAATCAAAAGCAACAAATTTAAGGCAGAGCAAAATAACAGTTTGAGAAGCAATTTGTTTAAAGCATAAAACTAGTAAAAAGTTTTAGATGCAAGAAACCAGCCAGAGTGGCTGAGGCTCACAGAGAGACAAGAGCAGCACCCTTGGAAAAGAATGCATAGAAAAGAGCTGGGTTATTTGTTAGCATGGGTGCTCACTATGAAAGCACTCAGCAATGTTCCTACACTATAATCATTTCTATAGGTTTATTTCTTTGCCGAGTATAATTCTGAGGATCCATCTCAACTTAAGCATCAGTAGCAGAGGTTTTAGAACAAAACAACAAAATGAGTGGAACACACAAGCAGGTGCAGATGATCCTCACCTGGCTGTTCTAAAGGAAATTCACCTCCCCAACAAACTGTGTAACACACCAGCTGAGCTGGACTCAGTATCGGAGAACTAGAAAGTGGCAAATGTAGCCCCAAATTTTCCGAACATTTCAGCATGGACTGAGACACATTTGAAGTCTGAGCCCCATATAGCAGAAACTGGTAAAAGCCATAATAAAGAATAAAGAACTAGAGTGTGAACACATACATGTAACATTTGGGTATAACCTTTAACATGCAAAGCTATAAATATGCACACAGACCTACTAGTTCCAAAGCAGTTAGCAAAGCACTTCAGTCATGCTGTGACATATTTTGACAGAAAATACCATTGCTCTTTCCCTCCTTGCTCCTCCCCTGGATTCCTCTATGCTCTTTTGCTACGGGAAATGTGCTAGCCCTGTATGTATGATTCATTGTTAAGGATTCAAGCTCTGGTTTTTTTTTTTTTTGAGGGAGGGAGGGAGACTAGGAGGATATTGCTGAGTCTTGGATAGTGGAAATAAGTATTTTTCCATATTATTTTTCAGTACATCTTTTAAAGACAACATATGGTAAATGGACTCTCCATGCTATCTGTGGGGATTCAGTCCAAAGTTTTCTTGAATCACAAAAGCAATCAAATAAGCTGACTCTCTACTACTAAAACACTTGAAATGTGACAGCTGAAGTAATAAAACAATGCTGTCTTATTTTTCAATCTATTAAAAATTAAGTATGATTTTAATTTCAGTTTATGAAGAACGTTGTTTTAGCGATTGTAATGCTTTCTCTTGAAGTGGCCCAATAGGTTAAAGTGACTCTAAGGAAGTCTGAAGGAAAATCGCTCTTTTCCAATGGAAGGAGTAGTTACTTTCAAGATTTTTTAATTCTTTATTTTTGCATATGCATTTGTATATGGTTGGCTTTAAAGACCTAATTGAAAAAAATCTTGATATTTATCATGCATATTCTGCAGTATGAAACATGAAAGATATGAAGCTTTAAAAACCAGAAAAGTCACAGGAGGATTTCATATTTAACTTGAATTTGAATGGATCCTAGCAAAGTGCCGTGTTGTGATAAATTTTCACTACAATATTGCAAAGATTTTTAGGAGGTCCTTAACTGTATACATAGTATTCCCACTGAAGGCTATGGAAATGTTCATGGTACATAAAATTATATATATGCTAAAGCATAAATAGTATCAGAGCCTGTGATTGAAGTGGATGAATCAGTTCATGGTGTCAAACTAGAATTTATTCAATTCTATATGAATATACGATATCTGCTTTTGTGTTTCAGAAGCAGAATATATTCATGTAGCTATAGCTTGCTAAATCCTCTCTACACCTCCCCTAGATTTGATCTCTGCTGTAGAATTCTATTTAACCCCAACATTACTGTGACAGTCTGAAAAGTTTCAGTCCAATCATTTGATATTCTGAAGTTTGTTTCTTCCTTTACCTAGGGATGTTTCCAGAACAGTCATTGCTAACCTTCCAGCCAAAGGTTTGGAAAGCCTTAAAGAACTGATGGCCAAAAATACATGGACTTTAAAGAAATTGCCAGCTGTAAAGATATTTCTTCAGCTAATGCGAGCTGACCTGTCCTATCCAAGTCATTGCTGTGCTTTCAAGAATTGGAAAAAAAACAGTGGGTGAGTTTCAGTAACTTCCATCCAATTTTAAACTATGTAAGTAAAGGCAATATTTTGGTATTAACATAAAATTATATATAATTGGATTTTTGTGGCCATTTTTCCTAAATATAGAGGATATTCTTTGAAGCCAAGAGATTACAATTTCAAACTAATAGAAAAAGAATTGTTGATATAGCATAGAATTTGTAGGACCTTTTGCTACAGCTCTCTTTCTTTTGTTGAGCCCAGAAGTAAAAAAGAATCAAAAAGAAAAAAAAGAACAACTAGAGCATATTATAGTAAGGACTGGAAAAAGAAGTTTTGGAGTGGACCTAACCTCATATTTCAGATGGTTTCTAACTGAAATGCTGAGAACGGGTTGTTCTATAGTAACCTTCTGGACAGACGATTTCTGATTCCATTTCTGCAGGATTTCCTCACTCTCTTCAGAACAAGTACTGACAGCTATTAAAGAGAAAAAATATAAGCTTAGAAGTCCGGATGCAACAGAGCAATTCCTCTACTGTAACAACAGCAACAAAAAAACCCCACAAACTTGCTGTGTTTACCAGCGCAGTGTTACTGCAGAATTCAAATATAAATCCAATGCAAATTTCTCCAAAGTTTTATCAGGTTTAGAGCTGTGATTTCTTGTTCAGCCCCTGATTTAGGAAGACAGCATCAATTTTCAATATTGCAGTATTTCAGGATCTGAATGCATAGTATATTAAAGATATGCTATTATTGGTACATGAATTATACAAAACTCACATAGCAATAACATTTGCAATCCACAATGGATTAGGAAAGTGTGGATAGACAACTAAACCAAAGAAAACTAGAGAGATTCAAAACCTGGCGGAAGGAATGTGCAGAAAGAACCTAATTGATCTAATAAGAGAAAGAACCAAGTATGAGCTTGTCCTTATTAGTGGAGATGAAAACTTTCTCAAACAGACTGAATTGCGTGCCATCTGGAATTGTGCACACCTGGAAAGGAGACATGCTAAGGATTGTGACAGCAGATGGCAATGATCAAAGAATTTGATGCCAATTTGCAAGGTTTTTCTAGTAAAAATACAGACAATCTGGGACTACAAATACAGGTGCATCACACCATGAGGTACAGGATTCCCAAGTACTATGTTATTAGCAAGCTTTAAAGACGCTAGAGGAAATAAATACACAGGAGAGAAATGAAAACGACTAGAGTTCTGGGAGAAACTGATTTGTGAGTAAAAAGGAAAATAACGCTGTGTGTGTTATCTAAGGAGTCTTGTGGCCCACCAAGATTGTAAACCCCCAAGAAGGAGGAAGGATTATGGATGGTGACAAGCTGTGTTACCACTGGGGATACCAGATAGCAACTGAGAAAGCAAAAATATAGATTAAAAAAAAATTTTATTGTACTTAAGTCTGCTGGGATGTTTGATCCCAGAAACTCTCAAGCTTATTCTTCACTACGTTCTCTTTGTATTAATAGAAATGTATTTGATAATATTGTTATAGCTAAATTTTCATTCACACAGTGTTGTTTTTTTTTTTAAGCCTTTCCTTTGTTTACCCACTCTATTCTAGTCAACATGTAAATCTGATTTCACCCTATGCTCTTTCAGAATTTTGGAATATCTGACCTGTAACCAGACTGGCAGTCTCAGCTTTCGTAAAAGAAGATCAGTCAAAGTTCTCAGAGGTCCATTTTACAAAGATTATGTAGAAGAATATACTGATCACACTGATGCTGTATACAACAAAAACACCAAGTTCAGGAATTTTCATGAAAATTCCCATTATTATGTTTTTTTTGAAGAGCATGGGGAAGGAAACGTTGGGTTTGGCCAAGAGCTCAAGAACCCTCAAATGGAAGATGTCCAGGCCTTTGACAACCATTACGACTATCCTGTCTGTGGAGGCAATGAAGATATAATATGTACTCCAGAGCCTGATGAGTTTAATCCCTGTGAGGACATAATGGGGTACAAATTTCTAAGGATTGTGGTGTGGTTTGTGAACCTGCTGGCCATACTAGGTAACATTTTTGTCCTTTTCATCCTTCTGACCAGCCACTACAAATTAACTGTACCACGATTTCTGATGTGTAACTTGGCCTTTGCTGATTTTTGCATGGGCTTGTACCTTCTCTTGATTGCTTCAGTGGATCTCCATACCAGGTCAGAGTACTATAATCATGCCATAGAGTGGCAGACAGGGCCTGGTTGCAATACAGCTGGCTTTTTCACAGTCTTTGCTAGTGAACTTTCTGTATATACGCTCACTGTAATCACCCTGGAGCGCTGGTATGCCATCACTTTTGCCATGCGCCCGGATCGAAAGATTCGCCTCCGACATGCTTTGGTTATCATGCTGGGAGGTTGGCTGTCATGCTTTTTTCTTGCTCTGTTGCCGCTGGTTGGAGTCAGCAGCTACAGCAAAGTCAGTATCTGCTTGCCTATGGACACTGAAACACCAGTGGCCGAAGCCTATGTTGTCTTTGTTTTAATATGTAACATTATTGCTTTTGTCATTATTTGTGCCTGCTACATAAAAATCTATGTCACTGTGCGAAATCCTCAGTACAAGTCAGGGGACAAAGACACCAAAATTGCCAAAAGGATGGCTGTGTTGATTTTCACGGACTTTCTGTGCATGGCTCCCATCTCTTTCCATGCGTTATCAGCCATTATGAGCAAGCCTTTGATAACTGTCACGAATTCCAAGATCTTGCTGGTACTCTTCTACCCACTCAATTCTTGTGCCAACCCGTTTCTTTATGCTATTTTCACCAAAGCTTTCCGAAGAGATATATTTATCCTGCTAAGCAGGTTTGGTGTATGTGAGCATCGAGCTCAAGTCCACAGAGGTCAAACAGTCTCCACCAAAAACAGCAGTGGCTCTTATGGGCAGAGAATCAGCCGAGGGATAGGTCAGATACTTACAAGCATTCAAGACCCAGTCAATGATTACCTCCCAGCTATGACAATGCAAGACCAAATTCTTGTAGAAGAATGCAAGCAAACTGAGCTATAACATCTGAAAGTATGATTACCACAATCTGGTCAACAGGTGGTTGTGCACTACAAGAAATCCAGTGAGAAGATACCATTTTTTCTTATCCTTTTTCCCTAATCTATCCTTTGTGATGATTGAAGTACCTTCCAAATGATTTTCTTTTAGATGAGTCATTCACTTGAACCTCTTGTTTCACACCCCTACCCATGCAGGTCAAAAGATTCTGTTCTGATGATAATACTGGAAGTGGATGTGAAAGCTCTATATAAATAAAAAAATTAACGTATACAAATAAATTCAGCAAATATGAAAGATGCCTTCATCTAACAATGGAAGCAGGAGACTAAGCATAAAAGTTGAAGGTACTTGTGTGACTGAAAAATAATATGTAGCTTTCTAAGTAAAATCAGATTAGCTAAAAAAAAAGTTTGAAGCTCTGAAATTTCAACTGTCTTGTGTGAAAAGATTCAAATGTTTTTCTAATAGCAAACTTTCAAAACTTCCTCCAGGCCCTAAAATTGAACAGATTCCTTCTGCTTCAACCATCCTCACTTAAATTGTAGGCAGTCTTCAGTTTGCAACTTCTGGTTTAGTCACGTGAGGTGGGAAAAGAAGCCTCTTCATATTGACTGTATAGCAACATGTCCTGAACAGGACAGGGCAAGAAGGACTTTATCTCTTAGCACTTGCTATGCTGAGCTGCCTCACATCTACGCTTACGCAAAGGGAGTGGATTCTGCCTTCAGGTTACTTCATGCCCTTCAGTGCCTGGATTGAAGGCTAATTGCCAGCTCCTCCAACATGATTTAAAAACATCTCTCCAGCATGCAGTGAGGTCTGTAGCTGACTTTTGTAACATCTACAATAACATCTGAAGTACAGCTACATAAACCACGCTGTCAGCTTGTGTTTGGCCATAGCCTGTCTGCAGCCCAGGCACATAGCCTCCATACTATGCGTAAGGAAACATCACCTCGGATACGGGGAACATCCCACACTCCCTTGCTACAGCAAAGCAATAAAGCAGTCTCCTGTGCTACCTGCTGGTAGACTGGACCAGACCACAATCGAGCTTGGCTGTGAACAAATGAGCTTGGGCCTGGCTCTCTACATGTCCTGGAGACATCAGGACTCAGCCCAAGAGCTACTCTGCACCGGCCCGTGTGTTCACATCTGCATGGCCTGGCTGTCTGGCCTGATCTTGAGAGAAGGATCAGACCTGTCCTCAGATGATTGTAGAGACGAGCTCTCTAGGGCTGATACCAAGATTGCCTATTGATCATTTAGCCCATCTATTTGGAAGGCCTAACGTGAGAAGGGAGAATACTGAGTGAATGTATGCCTTCGGGTAGGCATTTGAAACTTCATTTTATAAAACCTATGCCGATTTTAATGATTTTTTTTTCCAAATTGCAGTTTTTGAGGAACAGTAGTTGAACAGACAGGAACTTTTTGTATGAAAGTTAGTAGTAATGCAAACACATAGAGCCCTTCAAACTGTAAACAATTACAGCTTGTAATTGCATTCTGAATTCCATATGCTTACTTCAATTCAAACACAATTTGATTCCATATTCCTGATTATAAATAAAGTCTGTGTAAGCGAGAAGACACAGGGACCTAGATTCATTAACTCTGTAACATGGTTTCATAAAAAACGATTCTGTCATTACCTCCATTAATAACCAACAATATTGTGTTATAGATTAATTTAGCTGCTTATTTTGGGGGGAGGAGGCATGCACTTCCATTTTCATTTAATTTCAACTAATTTTGAAATCAAAACTGCTGAAATACCATGCAAATAATAATTTATGACCTCTTCTTTTGTGCCCTGGGCTCACCTGGCATTAATTACAAACCCTAAGGCAGTTTAAGTGTGCAGATTAGAAAAATTTTCTAGGGAAAAAAAGCATTAGAATTGTGAATTGAGAATGCTCTGACCATATCTAAGAGGACCATATTTAGCAGGTTACAACAAGCTGCAAAAACATCCCTGCCAAGGGACCTCTGTTACCTTTCTGGCACTGGAATAATCAAAGGGGAAAAAAAAGTTATCCATATATGCTTTTCTGAGTTCCTTTATTTAGTATCTCGTCAGCAGCTAAGACAATCCAGTTCCAACGGACATATTATATGTTTTTGCTAGAGTTGTTAATGTGCTGGTGTACCAGTGATGGGGGAGGGCTTGAACCATATTCTTTTCCAGAAAGAAAGGGAAGATAAAAATCAACATTTAATTTAAAAGTACTTTTAAAAATAACAAAAGATCACTTATTTCAAACTTTCTTTTACCTTCCCTTTATCTTTTCATGATAGAAAATTTGTTCCTTAAAAAATACTAGGATATTGGAAAGGTGTGGTATGTGGGAATGATTATATGCTTTTAAATTAATATAGTTATTTGCTGTTACTAATGGATTATACATTTCCACATTATTGAACTAGTTTTCATTCTCTCCAAACCTTGCCTATACTTTTTTTCCATTAAAAGGGTTCTGTGTTATTGCCTTTATGAACAAAATTTAGTATTTCTATTTTATGCCTTGCATATTCCTTCTTGTGTTTAATTTGGTGAAAAATATTTAAAAGCTACGGGAAACATCCAGGCAATAGATTTTAAGTAATTTATTTGCCAGATTTTTACTCATTGTAAATATTTGTATGTTATATTGGATTTCTGCTAAGTCCCTTTTGCCATTTTTAGTCTTGCATACACCCTGATGTAATACTTGCTATTTTAAGTGTAACTCAACAAGATGTATTATTTCTGGCATTCAGTACATATTTTGTTCTAGAATACTTTAGAAATAATGCGAATATTGGAATAAAATGTTTTGCTGGAGATTGTAAGAGGCTTAGTGAATTCTTCTGAAAGTTTTAAAATATATTTTTCTACTTAAAAAAAAATAAGCTATTTCTCCTGCTTCTCCTGCGTTCAGCTTCACTGCTGTCCTTGGCTAGCCCATAACCAAAAAGATTGACCATGAGTCAGTCTATCTGGTGGAGGTTCCTTCCCCTATTCCCCACTAGCTAGGCAAGGGATGTCCTAAACAGCCATCTCAGTGCAGCAAGGATGGAAAGGAACAGTAGCACTGCAGAGTGGAGTTCCAAAATCACCATTAGTTACATCCAAGATAATCAGAAGAATCATCTAACAGCCATGAAATTCCCTTCAAAAGACTAAATTTGATATCTGATCTTTTCCACCCTCCTTCCTAAACCTAATAGTCATTGCAACAGTCACATGCACAAGGACTGGATACTTAATGAGAACACACTTACATAGCAGTAGCAAGATTTTTTTTTTTTTTTTGTGGTGGAAAGACTCTGCTGCAGGAACTCTCACAGTAACTAAATAAATCTGACCATATGCAGAGAGGATCCCTCCTACTAGTCCTTCCATTAAAGTGAATGGCCCTCGTGCCATATTTGCCAAAATTTATGCTCTATGCTCCTTCTAGTTCGGTAATTCTCATCAGTGAAGAAAAAACGCTACTAATCCGTCACCTTGACGTTACTTTGAAAAACTGTGTAAGGGACAATTCCCATTGCTGAAAACTGTCAAAGTGCTCTAATATCAGTAAGTCTTGACATACTCCTCTCCCCTTTGTAGAAAACTCAGCTGTATCTGAGTATATCTGTATACCTTGCTATTGCCTGTAATTTTGCTTCTCTCTTACATGAAGCTTTAGGATGCAAAGAAAGCTTTTTCTCAGCTGTAGATGCTCAGATGTATCTGCATAAGGAACCTGGAAAAAGGAGTTAAAAAGTGACAAAGTCTGCAAAAATATTTATTCAGAGCAGTAAGAATAACAGACAGCTATGAAAAACTGTATAAAGACTCCTTAAGACTGACAGACTGTCAGGTGAAATTCAATGTAGATAAATGTAGTGATACACATGTCAAAAACAGAAGAATTCACATCTTAAAAGATGTGCTGTGAGCTGACAACCACAATTCAGGAACAAGATCTTAGGGGTATGATAGATGTTTCCATGAAAGTGCCAGCTCATGCTTCCTAGAGATCAAAAAAGCAAACCAGATAATAGACAATATTGAGAAAGGAACAGAACACAAAGCAAGTAATTATTATATCGCTGTATAAATCCGTGGCTTCTCTGCATCTTGATGTGATTATAGATCTTAAAGGCATGAGCAGCTTGGAGCAGCAGTGTTACTGAACTTTTTGTGAAAGGATATTATGGATCAGTTTGGGGACAACGGAAAATTCGTGTAACAGAAATCCATTGAAAAATACTAAAAACACAGAAACCATCTATCTCAGGATGTTTCTGAACCGCAAATGGTTGCAGGATGGGAGTACTTGGGGAGCGTGTCATATGTGCTTGCCCTGTTCTTTCATGCTTCCCTGGCCACACACCTTCAGCAGCTATCGAAAACAGGATCCTGGCATAGACAGACTTTTGGTCTGGTCCAGGGCAGCCACTTGTTCTTGTGCAGCCGAAGTTGCCAGATCATTCGGTCTGTGCAGTTAAAAAGCTAGCCAACCGAGTGAAGACCACCAATATCCCCTGTTCATATAGCACTACCTCAACGGATTTGAACTCATGGCTGAAGTGAAAGGGCACAGCCTGGCCAGCTTCTCGCAAAACCTTGTACAGAAATTGGAAGAGCCAATGTTAACATTGTCTTCAGGGCTTCTGCTGGCTCTGGGAGACTATTTCAGATTGAAAATAGAATGTAAAACAATCCTCTTTTAAAGTGGCAGAGAATGCTATCATCTCCTCTCTACATAAGCTTCTGTGATTCTATTTGCATGGTTTGTAGTGGAAAAAGATACATTATGAAAATTTTTTTCATTCTCAGGCACAGTGAAGAATGTAAAGCTGACCTAGAGCTCTAGATGTGAGTACTTCAAACTTTCTCTGAGTAATTTAATTTAAACTAGTTATAGCCAACCTATGGCAGTCTCTGCTGTACCTAAAGAGAGACTTTTTTCTTCCTTGCGTGGACATCTGTTTCAGATGACATCATTTGATAAGGGGTGGCTATA